TTAGAATAATCGCACCCGATTAACAAAACTTTACATGTACGCTTTCACACTTGTCTCGATTAAAAAAAAAAAAAATTTTTTTAATTTAGATTCTATTCAATCTAAAATTTGTTGAAAGATGAAATTTTATATCATTTGTCATTATTTTTTTTTTTATCATATTGTAAATCAGAGTAATTATATCTCTATTATTGTCAACGAAATGAGTCAGCTTTTTACGAAAAACATTACCAACAAACATGTTTGTTACAATTACAGCGATTCCCGGTGAAAAAACATCTCATATGCATTCGATGATTGTAATAAGAACAAAACATTTTTAAATCTTGCTCTGAAATTATTATTTTCAATCAGTCAGATAGTTAGTTTTAATTATCGCGGCAACAATAGGTCATTCGATATATAAGCAATAACATATTAAATTACCGAATATTTGATAAAGCCGCAACCTCGGCTATGCTTTTTCGCTTTCATTGCCATTCCTGTGATTTCCGACTATTTCAAAATCAAATGATGTGAAAGCATCGCTTTTACTTCCTCCGTATAATAATTGTTTTGATTAAAGCTCGGTCGAATTCTCGAATTTCAATTTGAAAATACCGTGGCATTTATGCTCGTACAGATGTACAGATATACATATTTTTAAAATAATAATATTATTGCAAACAAAGCCAAGATATAGATTGCACGACATAAACATTCAAGTTGTAAAATCCAAAAGAAAAATCACGACAGTGGAGTAAAAAGCTGTGTTTTAAATATTGTATAAAAATATGCAGCATTACAAAAAAAAAACAATAAAACTGAGATTTTCATTACGCGTCCCTTCCCCGCACGTCTCAGAAACTACGAACGAATTAAAGAAAAGTCTGCTGCAGGAAAAAGTCCAATTAAAAGTTACATGTGTGACGGTGATATCGCGCGGAAAAAGTATTTTATTAAGTCGAATACTGCAGTCGAATTCGGCACAATTGAAGCGACTTTAACACACCGTTTCTCTCAAACCGTTGAGAATGGCGATACGTCTCATGATAAAACGCTGTGTAATTAGACTTTAATTACGATACGCAATTTCTGTGAACTAAATTTGCCGTGTGCTCGCAACGGATTGCAATGTATTGATTCACCTCCAGTTGGTCGCCGCAACATTTCATGTTGATTTGTAGCACGTAAACCCTTTCATCTCCCGTTCTCTTTCGAGAAAGAACAACACGACTTTCTTAACGTGGTTATCAATTTCTACTATAAAATTTTTACGGATAAAATCCTTCCGACGAGAGAGAAGACTTTGTAGAATTGAAATATGTAAAATTAATTTGTCGGAGAAACGAAGTCGAAGGAGTACGAGTCGGTGACGCGCGAGCACGAAGACCGGACAAAATCTCACGATCGAATCGCGGAGAAATGACGCGCCGGACGGGATAATTCAATCGTACTACCGATGCAATAATGTTTGTGCAATAATGTTTACTCGATCGTACGTACTACATATCGTACTACATATATTAGAGCGCGTGTACATATGCGGTGTGGCTGGGATGTAC